TCTTTGGTGACAGCCCAGGGTTGTGACCGTTGTCCCATGGCAGATCTCAAAGCGTGGCTGCACAGCCAGTGTGCAGTCGGGGCTGGGGCAGCTGCCGAACACGTGGCACGCCCTCGTGGACAGGTCCCGGAATGCCCCTGCAGACACACAGGCATGAGGGACACCGAAGCGTCCTAATAGGTCCTGGGTCCAGATAGGTCCTGGGGCTCCCAGGGCTGGCTACTCAGGGGAGTGCGTTGCAGGAAGGGAGGTGTGTTGAAGGACTGTTCTGGAACAGTCTTCGGGAGGCAGAGGCTGGCGTGCCCGCGTTTCCAGGTGTCGGCAATCGGCGTGCGGGGCCTTGCCAAGGGAGAGCGTGGCGGGGCTCTGCCGTCTAGTTCTCCCCCCTTGCGCATGAGCGCTAGCAAACACCAGGCCATTTTACAGACGAGGGAACTGAAGCTCAGAGCGCTCATTTGTGCAAGGTCACAGGGCTCTGGACGGGGTTGGAGCAGGGCCCTCCCTCTGCCTGAGCTTGGCTAACACGATCGGAGCCGCTGGACTTGAACAGGGCCACGACGTTCAGCAGTGAAGTGGCGGGAGGACTCACTGGGCGGAAAATCGGCCCAGCCCTGCTCCGAAGTCACCTCGTGGGTTGGAGGTAGCCCCGGAGCCTGCCCTACCTGGGCTGGAAATCTGGCTTTGCTACTTGTCGGCAAGTTATGCAGCCTCCCGGAGCCTCCGACTTCTCAGCCCTCGAGCAGAGCTCGAGCCGAGGCAGTGGGAGGGTAAATGGGTGAGGTCGCTCATCGCATCACGGAAGCCATGCTGGTGGAGGCCGCCCTCCCGGAGCCCACGCCTTCCTCCCACAGCCTCAGGGAGGAGCCATTATGGTCCGCCCTTTCTGGATTAGGAGCTGACTGGGCCACGAGCCGTTCGGTGGCCAGCCCGATGTCACGCAGCGCTACGTGGCAGAGCTGGGAGGAGAGCCCGGGCCGTGTGTGCGAGAGTCTGCTTTCTCACCCCATCCCCTCCTTGCAGGTTCTCAGCCCGTCCGGTGGAGGGGGGCCTGCCACTGCACAGCTCCGACTTGGCCAGCTGGGAGCCGCGGAAGATTCTAGAAATGTGCGGGGCACTGCACATTTTCTGCACAACTCAGGGACTATCCACGGGACTCTCGGAGTCATGTTCTGGAAGTCTTGCCAGAGTCGTGCCACACACAGCCCTGACATACAGCCTATGGTGGCCGGGAATAGGGTACTCGGGGTGCTCGTCTCAGGGGGCGACCCTCCCGGCAGGGCCCCCTTCTCTGGGCTCAGTCTCTCCACCTGTATACAGAGGAACTGGCTTCCATGAGGGTTGAGCCTGCTCAGTTCCAGCAGAGCTGCCGGCCTCTGCTACGGGGCCTCCATGGCACACGCTGACCACACAGGCGCCCCCAGACTGCAGATGCCGGAGGACGCCGTTCGCTGTGGTTCACAGCCCAAGAGGGCCGTGCTGTTGATGGAAGCCAAGTGGGCTTCCCATGGACGGCTGCAGGGGCACTTTGGAGGGTGTCTAATTGCGGTGGGGACAAAATGCAAGTGCCACTTCACAGTCCTCTGTGGACAAGGGCCTTCTAGAGCAGCGATGACTACAAGGAACAGAGGCCCCTCCTTGCAGTCAGCTGGAGGTCAGCCTGCGGCTTTCTGGTGCATCACCGGGAGACCTGTGCCATGGCCTGCAGGTGAGGCCTTCCAGTCTGGCCAGTCCTCCGCAGAGCCTGCCCTCACTGGGCCTGAGCGCAGCTGTGCGGATCCGCCAGCCATCTCGCGCTGTTTCAGAAGTGCTTGGGGTTTGATAGAACCGGGAAGATATTTGCCAAGCCCCATTCCCCGTTCATTTCTAAACCCGTGTGGATTTTCAGGGGAATTTATTCCATATGTTTCTGATTCATTTGCTCTTAACTCATCAAAACCTTGTTTCAAAAAAGCTGTTTGATGTCCAAGGCGCTGTTGGAGTTGGGTTTTAAATCTTTTAAAGCCTTCCTTCCCAGCTTTGAAATGAGAAGTTGCCTTCTGCCAAGCAGAAGTGAGCTTCCAAGTCACAAAGAGGCTCACGCAGGCTCGTCCTGAGAGAACCGTGAGTCCTCAGTGGGCCAGAACCTGCAGTGCTCAGAGGACCTGTCCGCACCTCTGCCCAGCCCGGGCCCGGCGCCCCACCCAGGGTCCAGGTCTGCAGGGAGGACGGCGCAGATCACCCAGCCCCCGTGGCTCTCCCAGAGAAGGGCAGCGGTAGCCACTTTGGAGGAAGGCATCCTCAGTTTTAGGGCAGGGTAGTTTAGGAGGGACTTCCCTTTGTTCATGACATCTGAGCTACCTCCACGCTTTCAGGGCAGGAAGTAGAAAACACACACGTGAGCAGAGCGTGCCCCTTCTACTCCTTGGCAGGCTTTAGCGAGACCAACTCCGCACCAGGCCTGCCGGTCTCGAAGCGATTTCTGGACCGCAGGGCGTCTCTCTGAAATGCGTCCGTCTCGACCGACCGCTCGGGCTTGTATTGCACTTGGGTGCTGTTACTCCAGGCAGGGCTCTTCCCTTCTCTCCTCCACGGCTGCCTCCTCTTCGTCTCCTCCCCTCCCGTCCTCTCTCCTCCCTGTTTCTAACTCCTTCCTCCTTCTCCTCCTGCCTTCTCTCTCTCCTCTCTCACTCACTTTTGGCAATTTATTTATTGGGGAGACATCCACTGTGTGGTGTCGTTCTTATTTTCTGATTGCATCCTTGAATTTAGCAAATTCATCTTCTCCTGCAAAATACACGTTTTGTATAAAACATAACTTGATACGCTCAAGTCCATCGGAATTACTTGTTTTAGGCTTTGATAGGCTTAACATTTGCTTTTTTCTACTTGGAATTTACCCTCTTGGCCCAGCACACTACCCACTATTTGAGTATATCTGAGACCCACCTGCATTCTCTTTTTTCCTTTTATTATTTTTCTTTATTCACGAGAGCATGTGTCCTGCACGTAGGAGGAAGAAGAGCGAGAAGTAAGCACCCCCGGGTCTGGTCGCAGCACGGTCCCCCTCTTCCAGGCCTCCAGCCCACTGGGTCTGGCCCTCACGTGTTTCAGGATGACCAGCCCGGGATCTGAACCAGCCACATGCGGAGCCTGGCGTCTCCTGTGCAGTGCCTTACCACTGTGGCACGAGCCCCACGTGCGCTCTCTGTCTGGATCCAGGGTCACAAGGCACAGAGGCTGCAGTCCGAGAGCTTCTCCCACTGGTCTCAAGGCCTGACTGGAAGGAGGAGCTGGAAAAGCCAAGGAGGAAGGAGCTTGGCCAGGGACGCTTCGGCTCATGATCGGAGGGGACCCCCAATATTGTCCCTCTTGTTAACGCCTTCCCGAGCGCCAGAGCCAGAGGCTTGTTCCTTCTCTCAGAGAGCACTGGTCACTGATCTGGACCAGGAGGCCAGGCCATCACCGGGGGCAGGAAGGGCCACGCCCCTCCCCTCCCCCTCCCCCTCCCCACCCCCCACACTCGTTCCAGAACGGGCCTTCGTTCAGGTCCTCCAAAGTGCAGCCCAGCTCTGACTTCGGAGCCTCTCACCTGCTCTTGCCTTTGCCCAGATCACCCCGACGTCACCTCGCTTGGCTGTCATCTGTGCCATGTCCACAGACTTTCCCTTGTGAGCACATTACCTGTGCTCCTGTGCACGCACCGTTTTTCCTTAAAACCACACGGCTCCCCTAAAGAAAATTCTAATGATCTTTAAAAAAATAAATATTATTTAATTATTTTTTAAAGAAGTATTTATTTTATTTTATTATTATCCTTTTTCACGTTAGCCAGAGAGACAGAGAGAACGAGGGAAAGTAAGAGAGCTAGCCACTAGGTCCAGGCCTTGAACCACGGTCGACCATGTGAGAGTCCAGCACCTCAACTTCCATGCCACCTGCTGACCCCTAAATTTTCTTTTGAGAGGTTTTTGTTATAGGGCATGTGCGCTTGCCAGAGAGACAGAGACAGAGAGACAGAAAGCGAGAAATCACCCCCCCGGGGGGATGGTCACGCCGCAATCCCTTCTCCTCCATTCTCCTCTCGGAATCTTGGGCACGCACGCACACGCACTCGGCGTGAGTTTAAGCCACTGGGTCCAGGACTCAAACCACGGTCGACTACGTGGGAGTCCAGCAACATAGCCATTACACCAACTGCTGGTCCCAGATGCATGTTCTTTCATTATGGAAGATGTTCCTTTTTTGTTTGACAAATTTCTTTCCTATAGTTTTTACATTTCCCCCCTGTGGTTCTGGAATTCGTATTAGTAGAATACTGAGTCTCAAGGATTGGTTCTCTAAGTTTATAACTCCTTTCTCACTGTTCTTCCTCAGACCCACTTACTTTCTGGGAAGGTTTCCGCGACTTTACTTTCCTTTGCTTTTATTGAATTTTTAATGTTTGATATTCCCAAGAACTTGTCTTCATTCTGTTTTGTGTGTGTGTTTTGTTTTGGTTTAGGTTTTGGGCATAGGGCGAGTTTGCTCACTGGAGAGACAGAGAGAGACAGAGAGGGAAAGTGAATAGTGCAGTCCTCTCCCCTCCACCCGCCTCCTGGGATTTGGGGGGTGCAAGCACACGCGCCTGGCCTGATTTCCAAGTTGGGACTTGTGAGGCTGGCCTTGTGAGTCCAGTGCCTTAACCAGTACGCCACCTGCTGGCCCCACTCTGGGTGACTTTTTCTGACCTGAAACAGAGAGTGAGACAGTGAGAGGGAAAGTGAGAAATCACCCCCCAAGGGGGATGGCCACACGGCAGTCCCTTGTCCTCTCTTCTCCTCCTGGGATTATGGCAGGCACACTCACCTGATGTGAATTTCACCAGGACCAGGACTTGAACTTCAGTTGGTCACGTGGGAGTCCAGCGCCTTAACCACTATGCCATCTGCTGGCCCCTCCGGGTGAGTTTCAAAAACGGCGTTCTATTGCTGCTGTTCTTGTTTGAAGGATTCCGTAGCTTCCCTTCTTCTCCTGAGGCGGCAATGGGCACGCTCTTTCTGCGGACGGCCAGACGGTAAATGGTTCAGTCTCGTGGCCACTTTACCCCTGCGCACCACTCAGCTCTGCCTCTGGGGTGTGAAGGCAGCCACGAGGAAATGCCAGTCCGTGTCTGTGGCTGCATTCTAACCAAACTTGATCATCAACCCAGAAATAGAAATACCGCGTTGCTTTTATAACGCAATGTTATTCCTCACCTGATTTTCTCCCAGCCACTGGAAAATGTACCACCACCCTTAGCTCACGGGCCAGGGAGAATCTGGTCCCTCAGCCATCGTTCGTCCTGCATCTGCTCCAAGGATAATCAAATGTTTCTGACGGGATTGTTTTTTTCCTCCGATTTTCTGGAGTGTTTCTTTGTGAGGGTTTAAAGACATTTTTTCATGTGTGGTCTCTTTATTTACACTGAAGCCTCTTCAATCGCCAGTCATTTTTTTTTCTTTTTTTAGTTTTGTCAGAAGGCATGAAAGAGAGACAGAGAGATAGACAGAGAGGGAGAAAATACCAGAGAGAGACAGAGGAGAGGGAGGAAATGCCCCTGATGGCGTGTGGTCCGGCCGCAACCCCTTCTCCTCCGTGTCCTCCTCCTGCCGGGATTGGACACGCATGGACACGCATCCAGCACGCTTTCAGGTACCAGGGCTGAGGTCCAAACTGCACAGTCGACCGCGTGGGACCCAGTGCCTTACCCACCAGGCCAAGGGGCCGGCTCTGCAGACGTTTCTGAGTCAGGCATGCAGAGTCAGCCCGGCATGTTTGTGAACATGGGTGAGGGTTGTGCTCAAGTGGGCTTCCTGAGCGGGTCACAGGCTTCCAAAGGCTCTTTCCGTGCCCTCAGCCTCTCTGGTGACAGATCTCCTGTCCTCACACCTGGGACAGATGCCTGGCATTGGCCTGGTGGGCCGGGCAGGGAGGAGGCAGTGGCCTCACCCTTCAGTAGACCCACCATCATCCCGTTTCCAGCCCAGCATTGCTCCAGCCTCTGGGCACTCAACCTGGGCTCTTCAGGTCAGCAAATCCAGAGAAAGTCCCCAGGCCCCCAGGAGGGATGGGGTGAACCAACTCCCCGTCTGCATGACATTGGGGCAGAGGACTGGGGTCCAGTGGTCCCTGTGGCTCCCCTGTTCAGTCCTGGGCCTCTCCCCAGGTGCTTCGGATTCCTAAGCTTTTCCAGGGGTCTGAGGACCTCGGTGAACCAGCACGGGACTGTAGCTTGGGGGTCAGTCCTCTTCAGGTGCTTAGTGCTCGGCGGCCCTCCCAGCCGCTTTGCAGCTTCTCGCCTGACACCTTGTGCTGCCCAGGGCTACGGGCATCTCCTTGCCGTGTTGAAAGGTTAGGGTTTGCTTTATTCCCGCTATCTTGCCCTGTGGGGGAGCATGCCTTTCCGGAAGCGAAGAGAGAATATTTATTATGCTGTCTTAAGACTGGAAGTCTAAACATGCTTATTTCTGAAAGAAAATGAGGGAGACTAGAAATCCTGGCCATGAACAGACGCTGCCCTGCGAGTGAACTCTGAACACCCGCGTGCTTTCTAGACTTGACCGCCAGGTGCATGGGCGCAGCTCACACATCCCGGCGTCACCAGGGAGAAAGCGTCCCTTCTCAGTCTCCCACGCCATCTCATCCCTCCCAGGACAGGCTCCGTCTGCTGTCGGCAGGTCTCCCTTCTCTCCGACTCTTCTGGTAATCTCTCCTTTACAAGGCACATGGCGGCCCAGGGCTCAGAGCCTTGGGCAGGTAACTCGTGTAGCTAGTTTAATAACGCTGCATCATTGTTGCACGCACTTCTAGTTACATCCTACCCGTCCAGAGTCTGGTTTTCCATTTTCAGCAGTGCTTCCACCGTTACTTTGCAAAGTTACTGAAGTACAACACGAGACTCGACTCCACGGACTGTCCTCCTCGGAGGCTGGATGGGCCCCGCCGTGCTCGTCTGCCCGTCCATCTGTCCCGGGCACCCGGCTGGCCCACCCTTGGTGGACAGCGAGCTGGGGATGCGGTCTGCAGACGCGTGCCCAAGGCCCTGCTTTCAGTCTTCCGGGGCAGATATCCAGCGGCGGAAGTGCTGGACCTACGGCCAGTCTCCAGTCTCCAGGAATGGCAGGACGACTCTCGGTGCAATTCGGGGTAAGATGGCAGATACTGCAGGGGAGGAAGCTCTCCCCTCGCAGCCCTTCAACCTCCAGAGCTGCATCTGAGGTCACCTCCCTGCACGAAGCCTGACAGGAGTGCATCTCAGAGTGGTCCGCGGGGCACCGGGAGGGGAGGTGGCTGCAGTGGCATCCAGGCTCATCCCACCTGGGGTGTTGGGAGACCTCACCGCATGCCTCAGAGTTGTCCCTGAAGAGTGTGGACACTGGGGCACATACCCGATGACCGATGCTTTCTGGTGGCTGGCCCTAGGAGGTCGTGGAATTCTCTTACTCCTGACAGGGTGCATGGGTTGAGCACAGGGGTGTCTGTGACAGGCGAGCTGGCCACCGAGCCCTGCCGGAGGCTCGAGACAAAGCTGTGCCCACGGTCAGGGCCTTCTGTTCTCAGCTCTTCTCGCTGGGCTGGAGTCAGGCCTGGCCCCCTTTGATGACTGTGAGAGGGGCAGGACTCACCGTGCAACAAAGATTCTGGGGACAGGGCCGTGGCGTCAGGGCTGTGCAGACAGGGCTGAGGGGACGTGTAGACAAGGGTGTGTGGACAGGACCATGTGGACAGGGCTGTGGGCCTTGAAGACAGGGCCGTGTGGACAGGGCCATGCAGACAGGCCTTGTAGGCAAGACCGTGGGACAGAGCTGACGGGACAGGGCCATTGGAGGGGCGGTGCAGACAGGGTGGTCTGGCTGCCACTGCCAGGTCAGAGTAGCCTCCTCGCCCTCCTTCTCAGCTGAGGAAACTGAGGCCAGAGCCTGTGTCTGGCTTAGGTTGGGCCACACTGCTTTCCGGGAGCACGGCCTTCCCTGAACGCAGACCCGTCTCCCAGGCCACATGCCTTTCTGTGATCGTGGGGTGGCCTGGCCTTGCCCCTGGCCTGGGCGGGGCCTGACGGCTGCTCTGTCTCTCATGCTCCCTTAGCCTGGGGGACCAGGAAGCGAGGCCTCACCGGCAGTGCACAAGGGTTTTACAGCTGTGGTGAGACAGTATTTAACTTTCAGAGACAGAATGGCCATTTGAAAAGGCTGAAATTATACGTTCTGGCCCCGTGTCTAACCTCTGGAGTGGCGCCCGGCTTCCAACAGTGTTCGATGCTGCTCTGGGGGCGGGAACCTCATGTTGCAGAGAAGCGTTTTGCTGTCGCCCCATGCGCCGTTGGCTGTCCCGGCCCCTCCCTTCAGAGAGCACGAGCCGTCTCCCCCTGGTCTTCCTCACTGTCTCAACGTGGGGCAGCCCTAGGCACCCGCCTGGTGGGGCGAGCCTGGGCCCACTTTCTGGGAGGCATCAGGAGCAAGGCCCCCTGGAGACCAGTGTTCTCACCTCCTTGCAAGGAAACGCTCTCCTGCAGCGATCTGAAGACCCACCTCGAGGCTCTCTCAGCGGAAAGAGAAATGACCCTTGTGGCCACCGTGGGCAGGAAGTGTTCCCTGGCTCCCAGAACAAACCCTTCCTGGCCGTACGAGGCTTTCAGAACACATCCCCACAGGTCACTTTTAAAATCTATTTAGAGCCCCCCCTCTGCCGGCTGCTCCCAGGTGCGGTGGTCGCCCCTGCTCTCGGCTCCCGCAGCGCAGCAGTCACCCGGTCCCACCAGCTCCTGGAGCCGTGGCCAACCTGCAGCCACCTTCATCACCATCAAGCCGGACAGTGTGCAGCGTGGTCTGGTGGGCGAGATCATCGAGCGCTTTGAGCAGAAGGGATTCCACCTCGTGGCCATGAAGTTCCTGCGGGCCTCGGAGGAGCACCTGAAGCAGCACTATATTGACCTGAAGGACCGCCCGTTCTTCCGAGGGCTGGTCAAGTACATGAACTCGGGGCAGTAGTGGCCATGGTCTGGGAGGGGCTGAATGTGGTGAAGACAGGCCGAGCGATGCTTGGGGAGACCGATCCAGCAGATTCGAAGCCAGGCACCATTCGTGGGGACTTCTGCATTCAAGTGGGCAGGAACATCATTCATGGCAGTGATTCAGTAAAAAGTGCTGAAAAAGAAGTCAGCCTGTGGTTTAAGCCTGAGGAATTGGTTGACTACAAGTCTTGTGCTCATGACTGGCTCTACGAATGAGGGGACAAGAACAGCAGCCAGCCCTGCAGCTCGGCTTGATGGGTCCCTGGACACAGCTCGTCATTCCACTGACTCGACCATAGGGTCAGTCATTCTTTTCTAACGTGTATGTACCAATAAAGCCTTTGGGAACTGGCAAAAATATATATATATATATATTTAGAGGAGGCCAGCAGGTGACATGGCGGTCAAGGGCAGTGGACTCCCACATCAAGACCCAGACCTGGCGGCTTACTTTCTCACTTTCCCATACTCTTTCTCTCTGTCTCTCTGCTGAAATGAAAACTAACTATCTAAATAAATAATAAAATAAATTCATTATCTTTTAAAAATCTATTCAGAATCTTGGGATTTTAATCCTATGCAAATGACCTTTTAATTTGGGAATAAAACAAAACAAAACCTTCGCTTGCCATTTACAAATAAAAGTAGTTGAACCTATTGGGAAAAAATAATTGCTGGTGGGTTCTTTATAAGGATAACTAGAAGGAAAGCTTTCTTTGAGAAAAGAAGACCCAGGGACCTGCAAGGCGTGGGTGGGCTGGGCGGGCGTGCCAAGTCCCCTCAGCACCCGTGGAGTCAAAGCGTCGAAGGCGGCTTTGCAGTCAGTCCGTGGCTCTGCTCTCCACCCTCCACCCGCTTTGGCTTGAACTGAGACGCGTTGTTTTTTTTTTCCACAAAAAATGATTAGGAAGCGAGCTAGCACGTGGGTCAGCAACCCTCGTAATACCTGGTGGACTTCTTAGACTGGCTCCAAGGCACTCAGAGGGGACACCTGGAAGGTTCTTGGCTCTCTGTGAGGAGAAGGGAATGCAAATATTTACCACACCTAACTGTCAGCAGAGGGAAACGCCTCCAGAAGAAGGACGGTGAAGTAAACGTCTCCAAAGGTTTACGAGGCCCCAGAAGCTGAGTCTCCACAGATTTTGGCAATGCTCTGACAGCAGAATCGCTGCGTCTGTGGAGAAAGCCCTGCAGATGCGTAGCGGGGGCCAGTTTTTAAAGGAGTGTATTCAGCTCACGTTCTGGGATTGCCATCTGAAATTTTATACCGATTATCTTGGTCCACTTAAATCCTACCTAGCATGTTCTCGAGGAAGTGGCCAGTGACATACAGCGGTTTGTAAAAGCGTGTCACACCGCCTCGTGCGGCGTGGGAGAGCCCAGCCCCTGCTCAGGCAGCTCGCGTGGTTCTTGCTTCTCTTTAATGAAAGGGAACTGGCCCTTCCTTCCCGTCTCGTTCCTCCTTCTCCACGTTGCGATAGACTTGGGCATCTCCGTGGCTACCCACGTGGCTCCCCGGCTCTCAGACGGCTCTGTGGTTTTCTGTCGAGCGCAGAAGGTAGCCTGCCCAGCCAGTCCACGCAGGTGAGCGCTCGGCTGCTTCCGGTGGTTTGCTACGACAAATGATGCTGCAGTGCGAGTCCTGGCGCCGGGAACCTGGCACGTCTAGGAGAGTGTTTCTCAGGATTCGTGACGCGAAGAACGTTAGGTCCAGGGTAGGCATTCAGACACCCCAGACAGAGCTGCAATGCCGCACTCGGGTTGCTCGACGCCAGCGGGCCTCCTGACGGCGTTGCTCCTCCCAGACGACGGACCACGCTCCCAGGCAGCGCGAGCGGGGGCCTTCCGGTCCAGGGGACCCAGAGCCGCCGTTCATTTTATCCCCTAGCAGAATTCTTGGCTGAATCTAGTCAGCATAAGCTGCTATTGCCATTGTGACATGGATACACTGCAGTCTCCATACGCCCGCTGGCTCGCCACCGAGAAAGACAATCCCTTTGCCTGCTCAACTTTTGGGGCTAATGCATTCTTAATTAAAATAATAAAATGAAAAGACACTCGGGCGGGGCCTTCCTTTCCTGGGTGACGAGACGTTATCTGTGTGACGTCTGTGAAAAATGCTTTAGGAGTTTCCACGTCGTTTTCTCAAATAGGAAGAAAAAGAGCCGTCTCTGTCTTCTGTGGCGACCACCGTTCTGGGAGGCCAGCCACAAGCCTGCCTCTGTGCCGTCCGTCAGGCTGTCTGTGCCCCTGTCCCCGCAGATGCAGCCTTGCCCTGAAGCTGTGAGTCCACAGCCCTCCCTCCCTCCCAGCCCCACCCTGGCCCGCAGCAGGGCACCTTCCTCACCTGGCTGTTGCGGCTGTGCACTGAGCTCGCGGCCTATACTCTGTCCTCTTCATTAATGTGAAAACTTACTACGACATGTTGTTAAGTGGGAACACGACAAGTCCCATCGGCACATCTCCATAAAGGCAGCATGTGTGTAAAACACACACGCATGTGTGCTCATGGTGAGGCTGGCGATGGTGTAAAATACAAGCACACGCATTCTTGGGCTGAGGCTGGTGATCGTATAAAACACGTACACGCGTGATTGTGCTGAGGCTGGCCATCATATGAAACTCGCACACATGTGCTCGCGCTGAGGCTGGTGACTGTATAAAACACGCACACACGTTCTTGGGCTGAGGCTGGTCATCGTATAAAACACGCACACGCGTGCTCGCGCTGAGGCTGGTGACTGTATAAAACACGCACACACGTGCTCACGCTGAGGCTGGCCATCGTATAAAACACGCACACCCGTTCTTGGGCTGAGGCTGGTCATCGTATAAAACACGCACACGCGTGCTCGCGCTGAGGCTGGTGACTGTATAAAACACGCACACACGTGCTCACGCTGAGGCTGGCCATCGTATAAAACACGCACACCCGTTCTTGGGCTGAGGCTGGTCATCGTATAAAACACGCACACGCGTGTTCGCGCTGAGGCTGGTGACTGTATAAAACATGCACACACGTGCTCACGCTGAGGCTGGCCATCGTATGAAACATGCACACACGTGCTCGCACTGAGGCTCGCGATGCCTGTTTGTGGGAAATGAAGTCTGAAGCGTATACATCGTGGTGGTATTCGGTGGGAGCGAAGGAAACACCTCGTTTTGTTCTCCTGCGTTCTGGATTTCTGAATTCCCTGCGAGGAAGGACTTAGTCTTTTGTGAGCAGAAAGAGGCATGACCTGCAGGATAGGTGCTGCTTCAGGGGCCGGGCCACCACGAGCCAGCCAGTGCCCCCCAGACCGAAAGGCTGCCCGGCTAACGCTGGTTTCAGGAGTGAGGTCTCCCTCTCCCTTCTCTATTCTCTTCAAATGTTCTGCACCCCCACCCCTAAGGTGCCAGCGTGCCCCCTCTCTGCGCCCATCCGAGTGGAATCTGCCAGGCTATGGGGCATGGAGGACTGAGATTGCCGGATTAGGGCTCTCCCTCCTCCTTCCCCCTTCCTCTCTCCCACCTGCCATCCCTCCTTCACCTCTCCCCTTCTTCAGTCCCTCCTTTTTGTCTCCCCTCCACCCCTTCTTTCCTCACCCCACAGAGCTCTATGACATTTGCCAATCCCTGAGCGCGGTTGGACAAGAGAGACCCACCTCCCGTGAGCTCTGAGTGTGGGAAGTCACTGAGGGGGTGGCCGTGCCCGTGGGGAACCCCTAGGAGGACACAGGCCAGGTCGTGTTTGTAGGGTACCTGGCACACATGGGGCTCTGGGTGGCTCCTGTCTCTCCAGAGCTTTCCGGTGGCAGTCAGTGCCAACACCTGGTGGTGTGGTCTTCCCCGTGGCCAGAACTCTGCCGGGGTGGTGCAGTGTGGTCTTGCTGCCTCGTTCCTGGGCCCTTGTCCTGAGCTAGCTCGCCCGTGTCCTCGGGTACGAGGCTCTTGGACTTCTCTTGAGCCTGCTGGGCTCTGCTGGGACCTGCTGCCTTTGCCTCCTACCCTCTCACTGCCAGGCTGGACCTGGCCCACCGCTGGAGTCCTGGGTCCCTGGAGCAGCCAGCAGCTGACCCATGCCACTCCCAGTTTTAACGGCAGCCCCCATACCCCAAACCTCCAGGCCGGAGGGCACATCCCACGGCTGACAGGCAGCCCTCCGTGGGAGCTGCAGAGCCCACCTCCCCAGCACCCACTGCCAGACCCAGGGGACCGGGCTCCTCTCCTCCGTCCCACTGCGATGCTCCTCCTCTCACTCTCAGAAGGGCTGGGTGCATCTGGGGCCTGGGCGGTGGGCACTGAGGCCGTTCTCAGCACCACTCATGCCACTTCAGTGCAGTATTACTGGGGCCCGGTGTCAGCAGGGCCGCCCTCAGTTTCCTTCTGAGTCGAATACAGCTATCAAACTAGTACAGGCCGAGTTCTCTTGATTGCCATATCCCTGACTGTCTCTGTCCGTATCTTTTTCTATATTTACGTGAACGGACTTCAAAATGTTTATGGAAAAGTGGAATCAAAGTATGAGTTTATTTTGGTCCGAAGAGATTGAAATCTGCATGTTTCTTCATAGTATGATTTTTCCATAACTGTCTCGAAGACCCCTTGCGACCTATTCACCTGCACTGTCTTCTATCGCTGTCTCTCACCCATCTGCCTCTCTCCAGCACCTCCACCTGCCCCTCCCCTCTTTTCTCTCTCTCCACAGCCTTCAGGTCACCATGCAGACGAGCCCCACAGAAGGCACACGCCCTCGGGGCCCCCATTTTCCATTGCTCCGTGGCTCCATCACTCACCCTCTGGCCAGTGATGCGAGCGGGGCTGGGTGTTTTCTTACCCGACGCGCCTCCCCACCCACACTGGCTCCCCTGGGTGGGGGCTCCCCTGGCTGGCTCGTCAAGTTTGCCCTCCTGTCTCCCCGTCGGTCCTGGCAGCTGCACAATCTGATATGACGCTGCCTTGGGAGGTTTTCGCGCATTGTCATCCTCTCTGTCCTGGCGCCATCCCTGCCCGGCTGCTGCCAAACGGAGTTGTCAGGCCCCACAGCGGTCTCACATGCTCGGACATGGCCAGGCCGCGTCCAGACAATCCCTACTGAGCACCAGGGAAGACACGCCAGGTCTGGTCGGACGGGATTGAGGCGATGTCTTGGAGGCGGGTGCTGTTTTCGGGGCTCTGCGTGAGAAAGCAGTCCTTTTCCATCGGACATCAGAACATTCGGGGCAGTGCAGCCGCTGCTGGAGCACAGACTTCCCC